TGCTCGGGGCTCAGAGGCAGCACAGCTTCTGTCAGTTCAGAGTAAATGCGGTTAAGATCCGCTTCCCTCAGTATACATGACAAAATACTTTAATGTTGCAGTGATAGTTCTCTGCAGCAAGGCCTGGAGAGCTTCAAGGAAGTTATAATATCTTAAGCGTTTATGCTCTGCCTACGGGTAATAACTTTCCTGTAATTTTCTGAAGATTCATTATCCAAAATCTTAATTCATTATAATAGCCCTTGTGAAACGTATAGAAACCAACATTTTCTTGTGTTTTCTTATTTGCACAGTATGAGAGATTCATTGCTCTGTTTTAATTTGTTTCATGGGGTGTGTTTGAGTGCATTCCATACAGTGCCGTTATTGAATTTCTGTGACTGTCATTATATAGCCATACAACCTTTAGGAACTCATATTCTGAGCTTCCCAGTTCTGTAATCTGCTTCACATTTAAGAATTGACATAATTAGCTTCTTCAGAGTTATAATGATAGCAGTGAAAAGAGAAGACCTCAAAAGACAAAGCGAAGTTAAACTTATCTGGGGCCAAAGAGCAGAGAAGTCAGGGAAATAAAGCTTCGGCGTAATTACCACATTTTTTTCTTTAAGTTGCATTTACATGCAGGTGCTTTGCTTTATAAAACATGGCTTCCACAAGTGTGTTTCTTCTTCTTTTTTGAAATGTAGCTACTAGAGCTTAGAGTACACGAAAGACGGGGAGCTGTTGGAGAGGGTCCAGAGGAGGGCCATGAAGATGATCAGGGGACTGGAGCAGCTCCCCTACGAAGACAGGCTGAGGGAGCTGGGCTTGTTCAGCCTGGAGAAAAGAAGGCTGCGGGGTGACCTCATTGCAGCATTTCAGTACCTAAAGGGAGCCTACAAACAGGAGGGGAATCAACTCTTTGAAAGGGTTGATAACTGCAGGACAAGGGGAAATGGTTTTAAGTTGAAGGAAGGGAGATTTAGTTGGACGTCAGGGGGAAATTCTTTACAGAGAGAGTGGTGAGGTACTGGAACAGGCTGCCCAGAGAGGCTGTGGACCCCATCCCTGGAGGTGTTCAAGGCCAGATTGGATGGGGCCCTGGGCAGCCTGGTCTAGCATTAGGTGGGATGGTTGGTGGCCCTGCCTGTGGCAGGGGGGTTGGAGATTCATGATCCTTGAGGTCCCTTCCAACCCTGGCCATTCTGTGATTCTGTGATTCTGTGAGTAGTTTGGAAGGGCAGAGCTGAGTCATTTGAATAACCCATAAGGCTGCCGGGTGGTAAAAGATGGAGCGGCACCAGAGCTGGTGGGCCTGCTGGCTTCTCCAGCACCCTTACTGCACACAGGTGGCCTTAACTGTACGAATGGGGCCAAAAAAGAAGAATCGCTGGATCTGTTGCCTACGCACTTCATTTCTATTGCCTAGAGGACCAGGGAGGTTACTTTCATAGAGACATAGAGTGGCTCGGGTTGGAAGGGACCATAAAGCTCACTTGCTTCCAATCCCCTGATATGGGCCGGGTGCCGCTTGCTGGATGGGGCTGCATGGTGCCGGATGGATGGCAGCCTGGCCTTGGGCACCTCTAGGGGTGGCACACCCACAGCTTCTCTGGGCAACCTGAGCCAGGCCAGTCCCCTGGTATGCTGCACTGGGATTACTGTGGTCAGTTTGGGGCCCTTCACAGAAAGAAAGCTATTGGAGTTGCCGGAGTGTGTGCTGCAAAGAGCAGCAAAGCTATGAAGGGGCTAGAAAACAAGAGTTAAGGAGCAGCTGAAGGAATGAGCTGCTCAGTCTGGAGAAGTCTGAGGGCAGAGCTCATTCCCTCTCTCCACAGCTACCCGATGGAGGTTGCACAGAGGAGGAGTTTGTCTCTTTACCCAGGTGACAGGCGGTAGGACGTGGGGAAACAACCTCGAGTTGCACCAGGGGAGGTCCAGATTGGGCATGGGGAAAAATTTGTCACAGAAAGGGAGGTCAGGCATTGAACCAGGCTGCCCAGGGAGGTGTTGGAGTCCCCATCCCAGGTACGGCAGAGATGTGAGCGTAGTACTGGGCAACGTGGTGAAGTGATGGGACTCGATAGGTCAGGTTGATGGCTGGACTTGTTGACCCTAAAGATCTTTTCCTACCTTGATGTGTCTGTGATTCTTTGATATAATATGTTTGAAAATGTTATTATTATTGATGGTATTTTACTGATTTCTCCTTTTTCTTGACTGTCATGACTACTGCAGTCACCTGTGGTTGAAGTGGTGGTATGAGCCTGCCCTTGCTTTAAGGACCTTTATTATCAACTTGTACCTGTGAAGCTCATCTAATGTTGTAACCTAACATTAGCACTCTTGTGGATTTTTCACACTCATTCGTAACTGATGTAAAAATGAGATGATAATAGTGATCTGATCTGTTATTATTAAGAGGCTTACGTTATGTGGCAGCATCACAGCACGACTGCATAACCTTGGCGCTTCACACAGCTGGAAGGATTGGGGAATAATTGTGTAAAGGATTCACCTGGTCGCTTCTTACTGCAAGTTAATGATCCTGCTCCTTGCTCGGGGTCTCCAGAGGGACCTGCAGCCATGAGCCGTGCTCTCCTTGCTGCACGGGGATGGCCGGGCATCTCGTGATGCAGACAAGCTTGAGATGAGATCACTTCCACATGCAATTCACATCCTTTTATGACCCCCCTTTCAACAGTGTTTTGTTTTTTTTCCTTCTGAATACGTAGCGCGGCCTTTGTTGCTGAAGAGTATTTTATTATTATACGTCCAAAATGCTTTATCATTAATTTTTTATAGCGCTTAAAAGTCTGAGGGCGTTTCAGTGTTGTGGCTGGGGGTTGTTTGCTCTTCTATTTTTACATCCTAAGAGTGTGTTTCGGTTTGAAAATGATCTTGAAGAATGTGTTTAAAATATCACATTTATTTTAGCTTACGATTTGTCACATTACCGGGCGAGAAGTAGCTTTTATTACAAGCACCGTATTCATGCTGACTTGAAATGACCCTGTCACATGTGAAAACAAATCGGATTGTTGCTGTTAATGAGCTTTTCAATTTACTATTCAGTGGATCAGATAAGTGGATTTAAGAGGTAATGATCCTGCTTAGCACTCGGGCTTGGCTGTCAGATCCTGGCGGTGGTGGGAAATCCCCAGGGACAAAAGCGTTGACACACTTCTTGATGGGATAATGGGAATCAAAGCTAATGGATGATAAAAGGAGTAGTAAGAGTTACAAGGATAATTGTGGATTAAAGCACTGCTCTTTGTCAGCACGGCCTGCCGGTTGACTATTTATGTGATGTGGCACGGCCCGATGACAGCGGGGCAGAGGCAGTGCCGGGCTGCCCGTCCCCCTGCGCCCACCCTGCCCACCGTTCTCCTTTCTTGGACCGGTTTCCTCTCCAGCTAAAAAGCAGATTTAGGTTTAGGGAAAACTGAGAGTGCTGGAGCGTTTCGACAGCGCGCTGCTGTGAGAGAGGTGTTTTTATAAATCAGAACAGAGGATTTTTATCATTGCGTGTATTGTTACTGTAGCTGTGTGTTGTTATAAATTACAGCTTCGCTTTTATGATGTGGATATAGCATTTTGTAGAGATTGAAAGGCAGCATATTCCCTGTTTTTTTATATTCCTTGTTTTCTTTCATGCTTCAATTGTCCTCTCGCTGCTGACATTTGTCACAGCGAATTACATTCATACCATTATGAAAGGTGATATTTTGACTTACAAGACAAGTAAATTATCCTCGATCTTGCTCCACTTTCTGGCTACAGCAGCAAATTTATTTGCTCACGCTTTTATTATGCTCTGATTTAAGCTGAAGTTTTTGGTACACAAATTTTTTATTAACTTCCCTAGCGGTAGAATAGTGCTGCTTCGGTCCTTAATAAAAGTTGTGGGATTGCTTCACTAGCAGAAAGGAGCACGGCATGAGGAAACTGAAATACGGGAACAGGAGTTGCCCAAGTTAATGTGGAATATATAATGTCAGCAAACAGAATTGACAGCTAGATGGCACCAGGCTTTCACTGCTGGGTAACCTGCCACTGCATCTGCTGGGGTTGGTGCTCGCAATTCAGACCTTGGGATCCTTGACTTGATCACGTAATACGGAAGAATTACGTGTAACCAATCATGCTTGGTTTAGTTTCACTAAAGATTGAAATGCCTGAAATGAAATGCCTAGTTGTAAGCAAATAGCAGAGCCACTTGTGCTCAGGCTAAAGTGAGTTACAGGATGCTGTGAAGGAGTTACGGAGTTCCTCCCCCTTCTTTAACAAGTTGATCCAAATAAATGTTTTTACCCAAACTAGATTTTTGGCTACAAAAATTACTAGAAATTTTCATGAAGACTGCACAGTAACTAAAAAATACAGTTGGTTTGTCCTTTGTATTTGTTAAAGCATCATAACAGCAGTAAGATGACTTGATCTGGTAGGTGGGGTGCTGGGAAAGCTTGGCTGGTAACGTGACTTGGATCTGATGGAAAGGGAAAGAGTATACAACTAAAGTTATTTGGCTGCCAGAGGAGGAGAGCACAAAGCTGGATGCCCAAACAGTACCTGAGTTCCTGATTTTGTGACTGACAGTGCAACTATGTACAAATGGAAGATGAAGGCCAATGCTGAACTGCAGCCCAGTGACCAAAAAGGCAATGTTTCTCCATCTCTTTGCAGCTCTTGTAGTGAAACCCTCTTTTGAAAGAGACTGATTTGTTCTGTGAACCATAAAGTGGGTTTAATTTGGAAAATTTACATCTCCTTTGTGGGAAGAGATGAATACAAGGGCAAGTAAAAGCCTACCAGCTCCAAATTCACAAAGCATCGTTATGGAGTGTGCACTTCATCTCATAGCAGTGCTTCACTTAGGTTGGACTGGCAGGCATTTGTGCCTGTACTTTTCTCCTGAAAAGTCAAAATTGGGAAAGATTGTAGAATAAATGTTTACGAGCAAACATTTGTAACGTGTAACATCCATAACATGTTTCTGTGTAAATGTTTATTTCTAGGTATATTCCCACATGTCAGAAGTCTTAGGAATAACAGATGACAGCCATGTTCTGGAAACATTTGTGACAAAAATGTGAGTTTGTCTTGGCTTCTCTTCTGTATGTATTTTGTTTTGTCTTCAGTGCTTACATAAAATCTATGTTTTATTTTACTTTATTAAGTCCGTCCTTTGCTAGAAAAATGTCTTCTGTAAATTGTAATTATTTAAAGGATAATAATATTAAAAACACCCATAACCTACTGTCTGAAAGTCCTTCAAGCCTCTAAATAAACACTCATATAAGTATGCCCTCCTGAATGCCTGCATCACTTCTAGAAATGGCTTAATGTGAGAAAGCTGAGGTTTCACAGACTTTTGTTCAGTGACAATCCTAGCATAAGCAGATCCACCCTTCCCCTCTTCCATTCTTGCACTCTCAGATGCTGATAGAATTACTTGTAAAGCTTCAAATAACTCAGAATAGATTGTTGACCAAGTTAAACAAATCTTTCTTTGTGCTGGGGAGACTCCTGTAGTTTGCTTCTTGTTAATATCTGGCAAAATGTACTCTCAGAAGTATGGATCCTCAGAGAACTATGTTAAGGACTCATGCTGAAGGAAACAAGGGGAATTATTGTCAGCCATTTTCATCTCTGGCATTTGGCAGATTAAGATGATGTGTTATTTGTGCTGACAAGTGATGCAATGCCTTTTCTTAGGAATAATCCTAGAAAATTACCCTCTGTCTCATGCATCTACTGCTGTCCCCTTCCATGGGTCCTAGCAAAACCACCAGGATTTTTGTCTTTTATTCCTGAGGTCCTTAGTGAAATTTGATAGTTCCTCTTGACTCAAAGAGAGTTTAATTAAATCATTTTTTCTTTGAAACAAAACAAAACGGTCTCTCCAAACAGTTAGGAATATCCACTACAAATCTGAGACTTCAGTGGACAGTGAGTTCTGTGCGTGCCTGGAGAAATGAAGAAGTACCTTAGCTCTGTTCTATGGTGAGGGAAATGTTGCATCCTGGCATTAACTTTGTGTCTTCTAAAGCTGGTCTGTATGACTGTTAAAAACTTTCAGTAGACTTGGATGTATTCAGGAAGGGTCTCTGCTGCTGTTACCAGGCCAGCCATGACCGACCTGTTTGGACAGTGTTGAAAATGACCTGTCTTTTGCTACCACAGCCATCAACCTTGAGAACTAGTCACAGCTGGGACAAGATCATTTTTCTAATGTGACTTAACTTTTCCACAGAAAACAAAGCATAAATGTTTTGCTTGCTCTAAACCAGTTTTGAGTCCTGCCATATGGTAACCCATCAGACCTTGGTATTTATCCAGTGATGAATGGAGAAATATTGATGCTTTCTGTACACTTTGTGTACACTTTTCATATCATGGAATTAGATAGCTAGGCTGCTTTTTGTTGTTTCAAGGTAAGGTGAAACTTAAACACATGAGGGAAAAGGGGGAAGGAGGAATTTCCTATGGAGACAGGATGCACCAGTTTGCTTCTTTTTTCTTCTTCTTGATACTATTGCAAGGAAATCTGCATTGGATTTGCTAACTGAGGAAATAACAGAATATCATTTAACAAGTCTGATAAATACTACATGTGTTTAGTTTCGATGTGGCTGCTTTTACAGAAGCATTGTAAATCCAGAAAATAAGATAGGGTTTTAATGTTACATGGAAAATTTTAAAAGAAAACGAGATAAACAAAAGGCAAAAATCAGTGCTGCTTATAGATTACACACTGTGTTATTTTCTCTTACTCTCTGGCTTACTGTATTTTTCTCAAAGCATGCAGTTTAGGAATTGTTCACTGACTAGTGTGAAGGTCATTTTCCTTTACAGAGTGGATGTTCCAGCTTGAATTGGATGGTTCAGTCAGTATCTTTAAGAGCTGGATGTGAAGCTGTTGTCCAAACAAACCCATGTTTGTGCTAATTAAAAGAAATTAGCTTCTCTCCATTGGTAGCATGTTGATGGGAAAATCTGGGTGTGAAACCAAAAGGTACCGTACATAACCACACAAGTAGGGTCTCATGGAACAATCCAGCATGGCATTTTAGATGATTTGTTGGTGACACTGAGTACATTCAAAGAGCAGTGGGCAGGATACACAAATGTGAGACCATTCACCTCTTTCTCTTAAAATATGCTCTTAATAAAACATTCTCTTGAAACCTCATCAAGTCAGTTGGTTCAGTCAGTAAGAGAAAATAATTAAAGATGCTATTTCTTGTAGCTACTAGTACCTGCGGAAACCAGTGCTCAATTTATGGTTTAAAGGTTGCATTTGCTAGCTTCAACAGTCATATTAAAAGACTGTGTGTGGCAGGGGAAAGGCCAACTGGAAAAATACCTGCTGTCAAAATGAATTTTGTAATATGCAGGGCATCTTACTCCTCCTCAGCCACCTTCAGCAAAGCTCAGTTCTGTAGCAACTGTAGGGCAGGATGAAGGAGGGTTAAGCTGGGAGGAGTTGGGTGAAGGTGAAGATGGGCAAGGGGGAGCAATAGGCTTTTGAAGGTATTAGTAGGACTGCAGGGGACAATAAGATCTGGAGGACACCATGACTTCAGGTGGCTGTCTGTGTCCTTAAGCTTTCTCCTGCTTAGCCTGTTGCCTAAGGATACTTGTTTTCTCAGCCACAGGCTGTTCTTCTTCATCTATATTGATTTCTCTATCCTTGCTACTCCTACTTCCTCCCAAAAAAGGCACGTCTCATTTTGTGCCTCTTGGACTGCTGGGAAGCGGATCAAGGCTGTACTCTTGAGGCAAGGACTGACACACTGTACACAGAAATGACAGCAGTCATTTCCTTCACAATTAATTCTGACTGCTTTTGAGCAGCAGCTCTTCCCTGCCTTGATATCTCCCTGTGTAGGTAAGAGGCAGGGAAGTATTCAGACTGTGATAGTTGTAGTTCCATCTTCTCCTTGAGACTCCCCTGGGCTTCTGGCACTTAGTGTCTTGTATTTCACTGGCAAGCACCCTTCCTTTTCATCACTAATTCTTTGTTAGACTCTCACTGTTCCTTTCAATTACATCAAATACATGTGGAAGTAATTTAAAATGAGGTAGATCAACAGAATGTTCACACTGATGTTTGGTATTGTTGGATGTGATAAAATAACCAAAACATGAATTTCTTCAAAATACAAATCCCAGCACTACTGTTGGATTGTATTATTTCCTTGAATGTAACTGTAATAGTTTTGCTGTGGAGGATGTACATATACATACAGGTGAATAGATTTTTCCATGTTGTGGTGTTTAAATACTAGTTAGGTATAAAAAGCCTCAGTCTGCATTTTCATGAGTGCTTCATGAATCACAGCAAACCAAATCTTGGTACTCTTCTTCCCAGCAGTATGTGCATTGTTTTTTTTATATTCACCTCTGTCCAGCTCTGATGAAAAGAATTTATCCAATCAGTGCTATTGAGCCACAGAGAGCTTTAATTGTCATTTACAAAAAGTATAAAAGTATATCTGTATTGTCCTCGAGACTGTTTCTGAATGTGCACGGTTCAGGCTTACCATTTCACTTCATCTTTCCATAAGCTTGTATTTTCACTCTCTTTGCTCTAATTGTTGTAAAAAATAAACCCCAAACTTGCTGATTTACAGCAGTTATCTCATCTGGCTGCATGGCAATGTATCTTTTGCAACTCAGTCCAACCTGCTTGTATGTGAGGTGCAGTAATCTATGCATGTGCAGTAGCTGTGGTGTTCTGGCATTCCTCAGATGTGTTGTGGTAAGATGCCTGACCATTACATTTCAGCAAAGGGATTCAAGGCTTCCTGGAAAGAGGGTGGATGAATTTTTTGGGCATTTGCAAATGGTCTGTAAGCAATATTTGAGCACCTTGGTATACAGTGATGAACAGAAGGGGTACCCACTATCCATATGACGAAATGAATTTCCCTTCTTTGTACAATATGTAATCGCTCTTCAGTGCTTCCTGTTCTGTGCTGACTTCATGCTTTTCCACTTTCCATTCAAACCTAATGTTTTCTTTTTTTTTAAGTTACTGTGCGTATTTTTCAGTTCTTCTTTCTAAGCTGGACATTCCATTTCTTTGATCTAACGGAATCATTTCCAATCCACAACTGCCTTAAGAACTACTGCATCTTTTATGAAGGACTGTCCTCTGATGTGCACCGTACTTGCTTTTAGCATGAGTGTAATATAGACCATGTGTCTAAAGAGATGTTTCTCCAAATCATGCAGTTGAGGGTAGGATAGGAAATTAAGGGCTGTAAAATGAGTTGGGGAAAAAAAAGTCACAAAATGCATATCCAGAAATGGCTGTATTTGTCATAATGACTGGGACAATGCAAAGGATTTTGATTCTTTCATGAAGGGGTAACCCTTTTCCCAGAGAGCTGTAAATTAGAATATATTATCAGTATTCACTTTCCCTTTCTACATTGCAGGTAACAAATACTAAGTCTTTTAAAAATTATATTTTTAAGACATAAGGGCAGAGATTATTGGTGTGCTGATGAAACTGCATTTCATCAGCACACCAATGAAAACTACAACAGTTGTGGTCAAGGGGAAATCTCAGAGAAAACTGTGGGTTTCTGAGGGGTGGAGGCTGGGAGGTTTTACTTCCTTTGGTATACTTATAGAAGCCAGGCTTCTGTTCTTGTCCCTGTAGGAAGGACAACCTAGGAAAGGAAGGAAATAGCTGAAAATATTCTGGGTTCCTAACAGTGTTCCATTTTAAGTCTTTTTAAATTCTCATAGTTGTACAGCTTGGCTCACTGTCATTCTTCCACTTTCGTATGTGTGGTTCAGTATTTTGATACCAGAATTTTGTTCCCCAAATTGGAAATATTCTACCGTTTTTTTATTTCCAGTTCTCTTGTAGCTGCCTTTCAGATGTGTTCAGTGCCTATAACTGTAGCCATTTTTGTGAATTTGGCATCGATGTTGATTTTGTTGAAACTCTTCTTTTCTGAGACTCATTTGAAATGTTACAGTTGGTTGCTCTGACTCAGTTTTGTTCATTTACGTGTTAGTTTAATAAGCAGCTTGGGAGAGAAGAGATGAGGGCCCCAGCACTTGGGTTTA